TTTTTACAGGGGTAGCCATTCATACAATGGCTGGATACAATTGAACAAGAATAATTGAGCATCAAGATTCAAGTTACATTTTTACACTACCTCACTTCATCGTCCTCAAGTGTTGTTGACTGTCGTGATTGTGTCTTTTGGCGACAAGGACTTATTACCATGGATGGAAAGTTTTGATGGACACTTGCAAAGACGAAGCAACATGAATGTTCTCATTCATTCACTGGCGTACGTTCAGGGTATGGACAAGTAGCTAAATTCAAACAACACCGGCATGTTGCTCAGCCATGCATGTTCCCTTTCCACGTTCTTACTCTCGCCAACCACTGCTCCCGCACACGGTCATCAATATCAACAATCAGGGCCATCAATCAAGGAGCCCAGACACATCCTATACCATACAGTCCCATCATCGTCGTGGGACCCAAGTAAGTAAGTAAGTAAGTAAGCAAGCAAGCAAGTAGGACATCAAATTGACACACCATCCATCACCGCTCGGATCCGGCAAATATCCGTTTGGCACACACGTGTGTCCCGGTTGGGTCTGTCTGGTCCAGGGCTCGCTCGGGTACTGCTCCCCATTGACCTGACCTGAAAGCAAACTGTTCCCCAATCTCATATGTCATTGACTGCTCTGCTCCATACTGAACAGATAAAGACAAACAAACATTTGCTCTCGATCATCGGCTGCACTATACATACATACATATGTATAAAATCAGCATCGTCCCGTGTTGGCGGGTCCCGTGCAAGGGTCGGTCGGGCGAGACAAACTCGGGTACGGTTTCCTTTGTGTTACTCCTATCTTTTTGTTGTGGACAAAAAAAATTTTCGGTTTGTTAGCGGCTTCGGTCGGAAAACATTGCACGGGCAGGAGGAAAATCCGAGACCGGAGACTGTGGACTATGGCTGGAGCAACGAAGACAGAGAAGAAAAAGAAGAAAAAGAAGAAGAAGAAGAAGAAGAAGAATGTCGAATCGAGACATGGGGGCGCACTGCAGCATCTGAATAATCACACATCGATATTTAGCAAACTTGAAAACCGCGTACTCCCAGCCCAGCCCAACCCGGTCAGGACTGCCCTGCCCTGCCTGGCTGGGGAAGGAGAACCAACCACGTTAACAGACATGGTATGAATGTTGAGGGAAAGAGGCATAGTGATTACTAGAGGTACCTTACCTACCTTACCTACTTATATAGATACCTTTAGATAACGAAGAAACGGGGTTGGAATCTGAGATAGACCTATGCATCCCATCGGTTCGAAAGAGAAGGGAAGTACCTAGAGGTCATAATGGCTGCTGTTACCTACTTACCTACGTAGTGTGGTAACTCGTAACTAGGTTACTGTAGCTAGGTACCTCCCAGAAAAGAAAAAAAAGGTGTCCCTGCGAGAAAGAGGTATTCCAGTAGTATATATGCCTACATAATAAGTCAACCAACTGATGATCTACCCGTTTTTATCAGTTCTCAATTTACTGGACTGGACTCATACTCACTTTGAGGGGCGGGGAATGTGCGGGCGGTGGCTTTGATTTACTTGGCCTTTGGGGTATACGAGTTTGGTTGATTCCGTCATCGTCACCTACCATTACGTCCTTTAGCTATCTATGGTGGTCAGGCACCTAGGTTTGGGTTTCGGGTCTGGAAGGAGGGGAGTTGGACGGATAAGCACGAGTCTAGGTCATTCCCGGAAAACTTTCGGAGTCGATGACGTCCGGCTGGATGGAATAGGAAGGCGTAGCCGAAGAGATTCAGCAGAGGTAGTACTTGACAATGCACTGGTAGGTTATGCTCAGTGGAGCTCCGTCAGACCTTATTGTCGAAGTTAACGTCCGGCTGGGTCACTCCAGTCATCCTCAAGTTTAACCAAACAGACCAGAAGAAAGAAAAAAAATAAATCCATCGAGCAAACTAGCTGTCTGGAAAAGAGCAACATACATCAGCTTCACCTGCAACCAACTACTGATCAGGATGCTGTGATTATGAATAGCATTATGGCTCGTCAGTTTGTCCAGAAGCAAGGACTAGGTGTTAGGTGGGTGGTTGAGCAAGCACTTTCGCCTCAATGCTGTAGATTCAGTCTAGAACTTGTGCAGATAGAAGCAAGTCTTCCAGAGGAGTTGTCATGTAGTCTTGGCACTCTAGCCGTGGTGTTGACCAGTTCCAGTCTTCATTTTTAACTGTCGTGGATACAACTGCTGATAATTTGGAGAACAAAACAAACAAAACAAAAGAAAACTTTCCCAGAGAAAGCATGGCTCATAGCGCTGAAGTGTGCAGCAAGGGCGAAAAGCAGTTGGGTGTGGATATCATCGATGCTCATCTAGAATTACTGGGGGAAAAGAAATCATCGATTCAACGCGTGGCTTTAGAGAATAGGTCAAGTTTGTATGATATACTCAATATTTGCACGAAGGAGACAGGAGAGGCCCCAAGACAGGTAGATATCTATCTACCTCGCAGTAGACACTCGAAAGTTGACATGTCTGGTACGTACGCACAGCACTGTCGACGTAGACTGTTAATCTTTCTCAATACGTTTCCAACAACTATCACCAGAATCTACTCAACCAGCCACTCCTCAACCTCTACCCCCATACTCCTCCCCAACCCCCTTATTACCTCCCACCCGACATTACACCTCCATTTCCCTCCTCTATCCATCTGATCACCCGCCATGCCTCCCGCTCCCGCGCCACCAACCTTCACCAACAACCGCAAACTTGCCAACGTGGCAATAGCCATCTCGATATCTGCATCCATCTCCCTGCTGCTGGAATCCTGGTCCAACCACTTGGGGTCCCACTCCCCCCTCACAGCCATAAAGATAGCCAGCATGCGCTCCAAAACAAAGGCGTGAGCACCGAGCAGCTTGCGCGCAATCTTGCGGTGCTTGCTCTGCGCGCCGCGATGTCCGCCCCGGCCCATGCCGACGGAAAGCCCACCGCGCCGCCTGCGACGGCCGTGATGGAAGGTGGAGAAGAGGACAAGGTCGTGGCGGGTGGGGTTGTGGGAGGCGAGGTAGGAGGCCAGAAGAAGAAGACGGGCAGTAGGCGGGAGGAGGGTCGAGAGGTCGGTAGTGGTTGCTGAGACGAGGGGGTTCGCTGTGGCTTTGGGTTTGGAGGGGGTTGTAGTGGTTGAATGGGCCTTTCGGGGGGTGTTGGCTTGGGAGGGCGGTGCTGATAGCTGGGCGGCAGTGTTGTCTTTTGCCTGAGCCTGGGTGGTTGTTGTTGTTGACGAGGAGTAGGACCGTACGGCTACGATGCCGGGGTCCAAGAGGGATTCATCTTGGAAGTGGACGCGGGCGGCAACCATCAGTTTGGAGAACTCTCGGGGAGCGTGTGTGCCGGCGAGGATGGGCGCCGTGAAGCGTGGCCAAAGGGATGTACAGGCGTGCTGGAGCGCGGGAAGGGTGCGGGAGGCGGATCGAGCCAAAGCATCATGGACGGCTCCAGTGAAGCGGTTCCATAGCTCTGTTGTTTCTTGTATCGTCGTCGTGGGGAGTGGTGCCGTAGGTAGCGAGGTTGTGTTCAGAATGGTGACAAACTCATTCTTGGTGTAGTTTGGGAACTCTATGTAAGGGACGAAGGAGGTTCGTAGGAAGCCGGCGGGAGGCGATGTGATAATGAAGACACTGGTCATACGAGGGATCTGAGGGGGACATGTCTGTTAGCCAAACTGTGACTACTCTGGGGGAGTGTGCCAGAAGCCTTACAATCTCGGAGAGCCTGGCCAGGGCTGGGAGGAGTGTGATGGGCGCTTCCCGTTGACGATCGATGCCGTCAAAGACTAGTACGAAGCGGAAGTTGTCCGGATATGATGGGTATTTGAGCATCTTGGACAGCTCAACAAGCATTTGCGAGACAGAGTCGCATCTTGTCGCACCACCTTGCCATTGTAGGGCTTCTGCGACCTTTGCAATGGCTGATTCGTAGAGGTGACGGGCTGTTATACATTCGATCGAGTTGACGATGACGTATCTTAGAAGGGGTTCATCTTTCTCGGTATCGTCTTGAAGTGCTTGTAGTAAAGCAGCCGTTATGGCGCTCTTGCCGGTGGCTTCGGTGCCGTGTATTACGAGGTTTCGGCATGGTGCTGCGTGAGGCTATTGAGAGGTGTTAGCAAGCGGAAGCTGAGGGGGGAGGAAGCTGTGTTTTGGTCATTACATGCAGGAGAGTTGCTACGGCCCGTATTTGAGCGTCACGACAGGGAAATGTCTGTGAGAGAGTGGTGAATAGCAGCTCGTCGGGGAGCTGGAAGAGGGAGTCGCCCATGGTAAGAATTGTCAAGGTAGATTGTTGCTAGTTGCCTCTCCTCGATGGTTGTATTTCGGGTTGGTTGGCAGCTGGGGTTCACAGAGCAAGATGTCGTGATTCCATTCTTGTAGTAGCGTTCTCGGTCTATCAAGACCGGCGTGGGTTTGTTCGTCCAAGATCGTTTGGAGATGCAATTGATGGAGGTCCAGTTGCCCTGGCATTTCCACTTGGGATGCAGACGCGTTGCGCGTCGTTCTCTTTACACCCCTGTAATGTAACAGGGGTCCCGCTATAATGACAGCCAACTGAAAGACCCCAAAAGAAGCACGGGGCAACAACCTTTGGGATATGTAACTGTAGTGCCTGCCATTGTCTCCCTTTCCACCATTCACTTCTATAATTCTTTCTGCAGCTTGACTTTCAGTGACACCTGAGCTTTGGAGATCTTCCAGCTATCGGCTTTTCAACATGGAAGTGACCATAAGGCTTTGGTAGTGCTCTTCCAATTTGGGGTGTTAAGCGTCCAGCGCATGTCAGACCCATAAATTCAAGAATAGCATAACCGCCTCGACTTGTTGATGGCTGGATTATCACAAGACCAACGACGGTCACTACTATAAAACAGTCAACTGCAGGCCAGCATCGCCTTATCTGAAAGAGATGTTTCGGGCTCAGCAACCTCAAGGGGTTTGAGCGGCAACGGACCAGCTTTTTTGGCAGATTATCAGGCCCTATTCGCCTGCGCCCTCTTCCTCTGCAGTCTCACCTCCCAAGTCTTCCAGGACCAGGAGGAGGAGCAAGGCCGCCGGCTTATCGAAGCACGTTGGCTTGGGTGAATAATACGGGGAAGCTGATGCCGGATCACCTGTTTCGGATGACTATGATCCGAGGGCTGTTATTGCGGGTGCCAATGCGGGCGTAGATACGGGTCCTACGCCTTCGCCGACGCATACGCCTCTTCATTCTAGTGAGAACCGGGAGGAGGTGGTGGCAGATAGTCGAGCTGTGGAGAGTTTGTTGTTTAGTGATTCAGGTAGTCATCGCTGCTCATTGCACATAATGGCTTGGAAATGTTTGGAGTTGGATCGATACCCATTTGTTCCTTTGACCATTTGCTGCATAGAACATCTGTCCTGGCAATTCCTTTGGCCTGTATTCACTGAACATGGTCACAGTTGAAACCGGTCGAAAGCTGGGACATGTGCATCTAACTCCCCTGAGCTGGTCTTCGAGAGTGTCGCGCCATCAGCCTGGTTGACAACCACAGTGAAGCCGTGCATCCAAGACACTTGTGTACAATAACCTCATGTCTTGACCACCTCATAAAATTCAGAGGAACGGCGGTCCTTCACAGCGAGCTCAAGCATTCTGTGCAGATGGGAACTCTCTAAAGCAGAGGATACTTCGTTACATAGTGTACCTACCCAGAGTCGCACCTTCCTTCCCAGCTCGATCCCGTCTCCTCGCCCAGGCACACAATTTCTCCCAGACACCGCGCTCCTTCCGTCACATCCTCCTAATTAACGGTACATAAGGCACACTTTCCAGTCGTCCTTCCGCCCAACGAGGCACACAGCAAAAAGCGCACAGCCAAAAAAATGGCACGCTAGCATAGCGGCACACAAGCCCGCAAGCAAGAGAAACACAGAAACGCAGAATGAACAGCATCAGGCCATGCGTTCACTTCCTGCAAAGACCAAGAATTTTCGGAGCACAAAGATCGCACAAAGATCCCACAAAGATCAAGCTTCTGACTGACTGATACCATCTCGACGATGGGTCAAGAGACACACTGTCTCTGTCTGATACGAGAACAGAGTTCTCTTCACGAAAACGAAAGCAACAAACAACCGAAAACGGCGACAGACCGGACCGGACCGGACGAAGAGAAGCAAAAGCAAGCTTCCTGCCAAGATCAGATAAATGATCATCTGATCTTCGGAGCTCAAATTGAGTTCTGAATAACGCCCGATGATGGGTCAAGCAAGCTCTCAAAGCAAAGCAGAGCAGAGCAGAGCAAAGAGATGCTTTGCGAAGTCGAAAAAACAACAACAAAAACAACAAAAGACAACACTACCATTTGGATACCTGGATCTTGGATAAAACCTGAGGAGGTATAAACCCTTATTTTTTTGTCAACTTTTTTTTTTTTTTTTTTTTTTTTTTTTTTTTTTTCTCTTTGCTTCACTCTCGTCTTATCCTTCCAGCTCTGCTCTTCCTGTCTTCGTATGTTCTATACCATGCCATCATCTCCCCCGCTATCATCTTACTATCCTCTTAATCCCAATTGTCATCGCTATCATCACTATCACCATAGCTTAAACTGAGCCTCACGAGCCGGCAAACCCGCCGACACACTATATCCCACTTCCTGTGTCCGAATACCATCCACTCGCACCACTCCCTCCGCTTCTTTTTTATATAACCACTTATCGTTTACCCGTTCGCCTATAGGCACGGGAATGTAACTATACCTAGTGTGTATTAGTAAAGACATGAGTTACTTAAAAAGTGGTAGTAATAATAATAGCTTGGAGGTTGGAGGCTGGAGGTTGGAGGTTGATGGTCGAGTTGTCGCGAGACGATAATGAATGCACTAAGTGGTGGAGGATGTAAGAGGAAGAGAAGGACAGAGAGGAGTTGCGAGAAAGCAGGTTGTGTTGACACTCAAACACCTTACTTATTCCAGTCTCCGATTGACCGAGTTACCGACCTGTAGACATATTGAAGCAAACATGAACAACCTCACTCGTTGCAACAATCAGATAATCCACCTCGGTCAACTGAGCTCCCAAGACCGAAGCCATAAGGAGCTCCTGGAGATACATCTTGTCATACAACATTGCAAGCCCTCCGACTGAGATGGAATATAGGAGAATAGTAGAGCAGGACCCATCTGTCCCCTTCCCTCACCTGGCGAAGAGAAGAAAGGAGACGGTGGTAACTTTATACCTACCTATCTCTACCTAGACTGTACTACAGTCACTTTAGTAGCAGTCAAGGACAACTCGTTCATGTTCCAACATGTCACATCACATTCAGAGAAGACATGGATGAGTTCATTCACATCGTATTCATTAACCAGACAAGAGCTTTTCATCGCGCACAAAAACAGGCAAGGTATATAGAGAAAAAAAAGGAACTTCATTTGATACACAGCTCATAGGAGGAACGTCCCGAAAACCCTTTCTTTACTCTATACACAGGCCATCGTTTCCGTCCCGATTTTGAACTCCCGCATTAAACGTTTAAGCCTGGTTCTCAAGCTCAGCAAGAATCTTCTCACCCTTGGCGCGAGCAGAGGCGAAGTCGCCAACCATGTAGAAGGCACCCTCGGGGAGGTCATCACCCTCACCAGCGAGAATGGCCTTGAAGGAGGCAATGGTGTCCTTAAGGTCAACGAGCTTACCCTCGATACCAGTGAAGACCTGAGCGACAGTGAAAGGCTGGCTGAGGAAACGCTGGATCTTACGGGCACGCTCGACGGTGAGCTTGTCGGCCTCGGAAAGTTCGTCCATACCAAGAATGGCAATGATATCCTGGAGGGACTTGTACTCCTGGAGGATCTGCTGGACGCGGGTGGCGGTCTCGTAGTGCTCCTGGCCGACAATACGGGGGTCGAGCATACGGGACTTGGAGTCAAGGGGATCGACAGCGGGGTAGATACCCAACTCAGAGATACCACGGGACAAGACAGTGGTGGCGTCAAGATGGGCGAAGGTGGTGGCGGGGGCAGGATCAGTCAAATCGTCAGCAGGGACGTAGACGGCCTGGACGGAGGTAATGGAACCCTTGGTGGTGGTGGTAATACGCTCCTGCATCTGACCCATGTCGACGGCGAGAGTGGGCTGGTAACCGACGGCAGAGGGAATACGACCGAGAAGAGCGGACACCTCAGAACCGGCCTGGGTGAAACGGAAAATGTTGTCAATGAAGAGCAACACTACAGACTGCGTTAGCAACGGTTCTCCTTCAAGCGGCATAATTTCTCCAAAGCAACATACCATCCTGACCCTCCTCATCACGGAAGTACTCGGCAATGGTAAGACCAGTAAGGGCGACACGGGCACGAGCTCCGGGGGGCTCGTTCATCTGACCGAAGACAAGAGCGACCTTGGAGTCACCGTCGAGCTGAATGACGGAGGTCTCCTGCATTTCGTGGTACAGATCGTTACCCTCACGGGTACGCTCACCGACACCGGTGAAGACGGAGTAACCACCGTGAGCCTTGGCGATGTTGTTGATGAGCTCCTGAATGAAGACGGTCTTGCCGACACCAGCACCACCGAAGAGACCAATCTTTCCACCACGAGCGTAGGGGGCGAGGAGATCGACGACCTTGATACCAGTGACGAGAATCTCGGCAGTGGTGGACTGCTCAACGAACTCGGGAGCCTCGGCGTGGATAGGGCGGAACTTGTCGGTCTTGATGGGACCGCGCTCGTCGATGGGGTCACCAGTGACGTTGATGATACGGCCAAGGGTGGCAGGGCCGACACTACACTTTTGCGTCAGTAAAACAGCTCCATTCGCAGTTGCTTGTCCGCGTTTCGCGGTAAGCTAAAAACTGGGGAAACCCACGGGATGGTGATGGGAGCACCAGCTATAAGATCATGTCAGCGAATCTGGCCAAAACCTTGATCTTGAGGATCAAAAGAGAAGCTTACTGTCGGAGGCCTTGGCACCACGAACGAGACCCTCAGTACCGTCCATGGCAATGCATCTCACGACGTTCTCGCCGAGATGTTGCTGCGGGGCTGGTTAGCGCATTCGCTCAGCTACACTAATCCCGCTGGTCGTCGTCGGGGTTGATGAGGCCATTTTTTGTTCCACGTACCGAGACCTCGAGGACGAGCTTCTGGCCATTGTTCTGGGTCTCAAGGGCGTTGAGAATGGGAGGGAGCTTGTCGGTATCGAACTTGACTGTTGGGCGGAAGCGGGGTCAGTATAAAGAGCGAGCGTCGTGACCGGGCGGCAACGGAGCCACGGCGCGGGCGTAGTTGGATGTTGTTGATGTTACTGACCATCGACGACGGCACCTGTGGGCAGAAAGTAGCGCGGTTAGCAAAGCAAGGTTTTCATGAAGCCGGTATATCCCGGAAGTATGTCGTCGACGGATAGGGTTGGGTCCCGGGTCCCGTGTCGTTGAGGTTGGGCGACGAGGACATGTCGTGCCCGAGGAGGGAGATGCTTACCAATGACCTGGTAGATCTTGCCATCACCAACACCGGCGGAGCTGGCGAATCTGCTGAGGGCAGGGGCACGGAGGTTGAGGGCAGCCGGGCGGACGGCGCGACGGGACGCCGCCGCAAAGGAGGGACGGGCAGTCCGGGCGAAGGCGGAAATGCCGCTATATTGAGACAAGAGGAAGGCCAACTATCAGCTTTCCGGACGTCGCTTGGGTCTCCAATTGGGCGTGATCCATGTCGAGACAGGTGACGCGGCACATGGACTCACTCACCTCTTGAACATCTTGACGATGATTAAGCGCGACGATGGTGGATGTGGCAGAGGAAAAGATGGCTGCTTTGAAAAGGAAAGAAACGGGTTCGAAAATCTCTCGACGAGCTTCGGTTAGAAGCTGCGGAGCTCCCAGCAAGACCACGTGATTTGCTCGGTGCCAAAAAGTGAGGGAAAAGTCGAGCAAAGTCGTCTAAAAGTGGGGAAGCTGGCACCTCTTGTCCAATCGAGTGCTGTCAATGTTCCCGTCCTTGGCCTTGCCTCAGTTCCAGTTGTCGTCCACTTCTTTTCAGGTCAGGTCTTGCTCTGCTGGTGACGGGATGGAGGTTGGTTTGTTTGTTGCCATCGATCCTATCTGGACCTCTTGGTGGTTGCTGGGCTGCTGCAACTATCTAGACTAGAGGTAGCCATTTCCCACACTTCGGCCGCCTCTGTCACTGGTCGCACACTCTCCAGAATTTCCCACTTCCCCGAAGGACGCCTTCCCGCGTCACTTTCCAAGACCTGTTTTGGAGCTGCCACGCCTTCGATGGGTCAGCGTGAAATGGACTTCTATGGAACTCCAGCTGCTGCTCCCCAGACAAACGCACGGTTTCCATTGCGGTTTTTCCCGCTGCTCCCAGCTCGTTAGTTAGTTCGAACAAGGTCGGTCTCCCGTCGCCGCACGTCTGGCCCATCTTCTGCAAGCAAATCAAAACATCGGCCGCCCGCACTTTCGTCCCGCACTACACAAAACCGCCAATTTCGATCTTTTTTTTGTTTCCCCAATTGCCAGCTTGGGAATGCGCCAATCACCGTAATGTTCCGAACATCGATTCGTCGTCACCAACCATCTCAACCAACACTTTAGCAGCAGCTGGCTTCAACAACATGCAAATCAACGCCACAATAACAACAAAAGCAGAAGCCTTGCAAAGTCTGATGTTGATGTAATTGACAGTTCTCAGATATATGTCCTTAACCTTTGGAATACGACTTTTAAATAACACGAAGCTTGCCGACCGATACAATATAGATAAAACAAAAACAGCACTATTTATGCCGACCGGTTTTCCCTGTCCAAATCTTCTATGGCGTACGACAAAACGTACGATGCTTTCCTACGCTTGTGGCCTTCACCCGGCCGCTGTAATTCTCATCACCCGCATTTGGACAACGGATGGAATATCTGGTCGTTCACACCCTACTCTGAAAGGGTGGACTCGAGTGCAAGGACCTGAGAACCGCAAATTAGTCAACCATTCAGAGCCAAGATGCAATGGGCTGCAGCATAACGAGGGGAACTTACAAAGGCTGTCCTGGCCGGAATGTACACATGGGTGCTGTTCTTGCGGTTGTTCCACGGAAGGTCCGAAGTGAAGAAGCGAGTCTGGGGGTCGAGACGGTTGAAGCCACCGTGCTCCTTGGTATCAGAGTCGAGAACGATGCGGTAGGTGCCCGCCTGCTCAATACCGATGCGGTAGTCGGTGTAGCTGTTGGAGGGGTGGAAGTTGAAGACAAAGACCAAGCCGGCGCGCTCAAAGACAATAATCTTATCGCCCTCGTGCTTGAGAGAGATGTAGGCCTGTGGGGCGTGCAACCAGCCATACTTGTCCTCGGTCAGGTTCATCGACCTGTCAAAGTTGTTGAGGTACTGGTAACGCAAAAGACCATCTTCCGTAAGGTTGAGCTGGCGCCTGGCGTACCAGAACGAGTTCTGGTTGCCCTCACGGGGGAAGTCAAGCCACTCGGGGTGGCCGAACTCGTTGCCCTCAAAGTTGAGGTAACCCTCACCTCCCAGGGAGTGGGTAAGGAGACGGATCATCTTGTGCAGTGCCATGCCGCGGTCAATGACCGGGGTTAGAGGTGTGAGGATAGACATGTTGGTGTACAACTCGGCATCGCAGAGATGCATCATGAGGGTCTTGTCACCGACGAGCCTGTTTGAGCGTTAGCCTGAGTCGGAACACGTTGCCACGGGGTCGGTCACTTACGCTTGATCGTGACTCTCACAGTAAGCAATGGTCTTCTCGCCGTGACGCCTGTTTGTCAAGGTCCAGGTAATGTTGGCCATATCCCAATCCTCGTCCTTCTTCTCCTTCAGGATCTTGATCCACATGTCGGGGATGGCCATGGCGAGTCTGTAGTCGAAGCCAACACCTCCTAGGGATAGTGGGAGACACAGAGCCGGCATTCCTGATACATCCTCGGCAACCGTAATGACGTTGGGGTATAGTTGATGAAGCATCTCGTTGGCGAGCATGAGGTAAACGACCGCCTCCTCATCAACATCAGGGCCGAAGTACTCGTGGTAGCCACCAGAGAAACCACTGGATACGGTTAGCCAAGGCCAAATTCACCATGGGGGAACAGATTACTTACGTTCCGATACCGTGATGGAGGTAAAGCATACTTGTCACACCATCGAATCTGAAGCCATCAAAGGCGTACTCATCCATCCAGAACCTAAGGTTGCTGAGCAAGAACCTCATGACCTCGTGATGACCGTAGTTGAAAAGCCTGCTGTCCCAAAGATCATGCTTGCCCCTGCCGCCGCCATGGAAGTACTGGTGATCAGTACCGTCAAACTCATTCAAGCCATCAAGGACATTCTTGGAGGCGTGACTGTGGACGACATCGAGCAACACGGCAATACCCATGGCGTGGGCGGTATCTACCAACTCCTTGAGATCCTCGGGCGGGCCGTATCTGCTGCTTGCCGCGAAAAAGCTGTTCACCTGATATCCGAAACTGGCATAGTAGGCGTGCTCCATGATGGCCATGAGCTGAATGGCGTTGTATCCCAGGTTCTTGATGCGAGGAAGCATGGTCTTGGTGAACTCCTTATAGGTAGCCACCTTGCACTCCGGGGAGGAAATGCCAACGTGGGCCTCGTAGATCCTAAGGCTCTCCGGCTTTGAGGGTCTCTTGTGCTTGAATGTGTATCGTTCGGATTGGGGAGGGTTCCAGAACCTCGCCTCATATGCGGGCGAGACTGAGAGGTCCTGGGTGACATATTTGATCCATGCTGGCAATCTGTCGACCCATTGGCCGTCGGGGAGTTCGAGGGTGATCTGTCAGGGCATGAGCATTAGTACATTGTGACGAATTGGCGTAGCACAGGTCGAATTGAAACATTTACATACCTTGATCTTGGAGTTGTGGGGAATAGCTGGTTGCCCGTTGGCCGTGGGAGGAATTGTGATCTCAAAAACGCCGAACTCGTTCTTTTTCATGCGATGAGCGTTCCTATCCCAGTTGTCTGATGAGTGTTAGAATAGCTCCCCAATTCACAGTATCTTGGTCTCGTGTCATGATACGTACTGAATTCACCAATGAGGGAGGCTTGTTTGGCGTTGGGAGCCCATTCTCTGTATGTGATGGTGTTGTCCTTGTCGACGTTGAAACCGAAGATCTCGGTACCCTGCAGTCGTACGTGTGTCAGCGGCTGTGGTAGCTTCCACAAGGCGGCTCATGACTGACCCTGCTGAACTTCTCCAAACCGCCCTCTGTCTTGTTGATGGTATCGATCCAGGATTGGGCCTTGGAATAGCGGCTCTTGAGGGTATCCTTGAACGGCTCGAGCCAGGGGTCAATGCTCAAGACACCTGCGCATCTTCTGTATCAGCTTCTGGCACCAGATCGGCAGAGAAAATTGGGGAATATAGAGACATACCGGTGCCATCCTTGGGAATGCCGCTGTTGGCAACGGTGCCGCCGTTGGCCAGCGAGTTGGAAGAGTTGTCTGAGATGTCGTTCATGTTGACAGCTACTGTGGTTGGTGTTAGGTGTAGAAGAGGACAGAAGCACGCCCAGAAACAAGTCTAGAAGAGTGGAGGTGAAGCGATGGGGTTTTAAGCGCTTGGAAGATTGGGTGATATCAGGTACCACTCTAAGTAGTTAGCCCGTTTCTCGGAGCTTCTTTTAGTAGTGGCAAGCGGCCCAATGGATACACACGACTTTTAACGTTCAAGTTGAATGGGATGTCGTAGTATGTAGGAGGGGACGGGAGGAGGGGGGGAGGGCCAGTAGGTGGTAGTCAGGTAAGAGTTGGGTCGGAAAGGGCAAATAACAGACTGTGCTCGCTTATTATATCGAGAACCCAACAATCACCCTTGAAAGCGCTTGCAGAATCCAACAGTTGTGTAGCCCGAAATCAAGGAGATTGTCTCGAAGGCAAAAAAAAAAAAAAGATATGGATGCAGTGAAGTCGTTGGAGGATGGAAATCCTACCTTAGTGGCTTTGCTTGGATTACGGGCAGGGGACAGCGCAAGAAACCCTCTTTGCGTGCTAGATCAACGTGATGACCTCGGGTCTTTTCTCTCTTTGGACGAGTCCCGTTCGAGGGTAGACTAGCTTCTGGTGTCACTTTTTTTGTTGGTAGTTTGGTAGTGCAGAGTATGTAGCAGTGTTTATTATGCCACTTGATGACAACCAAGAGGGGGGAGCTTCAACAAATACGGACATGAAGAACTGTTGACTATTGGAGTTGATGAATACCCCTTGGGGAAGCTATCAATGCTCGATTACATCATGGGCTCCTGGCCCAGGTTCAAAACCCAACTGACAAAAACCTAACCCAATCTCATTGCCCAAGAGCCACTTATTTTTTTTTTATTTTCTTTTCATTTTTTCACCTCCCCGGTTAGCTTTTAGTCACTGAAAAAAAGTCGTCCTTTCTAGCTTCCCATTTACCCCTGATGCAGTCTGTTGTTGAGATGCACAATATTATGTATATGTCTTCCTAGGCGCAGGTCAGGTCGCAGTCAGGTCGCTTTCTGGACGCCTTTGCATGTACGGTATGTCATTTCATTTGGACCAGAGGCGGAAGCATGGTTGGGCTTCTGGGCGTTTGTCCAGGCGCCAAAGCTCTTATCAAAGGCTGGCGAACTGGAGCTCTTCAGGTGGAGCCTTCTTCGCTTCATGGAGGGGCCGCGAGGGGCAACTGGAGGCAATCTCCGCAACTGGCGGGGCTCAGAGGGACGGTCGGCAGGGGCGAGAGGAGGGGAAGCTGCTCCCCTTTCCGAATTCGGGTTCTTTCTGCCAGTCAACGGCCTGACAGCAGTCTGGCACTGCAAGGCAGGTCCTGGTCAGCCCAGCAAGCACCAAGTTCCAGGCTCAGACCATTTGCCGGCCCAGCTGTGCAGTGGTTGCCAGTGCAGGCAGCTAAGGCGCCCTGGGTGTCCATGGTGAGGGACGGGCGCCCCCCGGGACGCGGGATGGCATTCCCCCGCGAGCATGGATCCCGTCTGGTCTCTCCCCCGCATCGGGCAGGTCTCCAACGAACCTCCGCATGTGCATCATCAGTCTGCTCTCATTGCCTGCCCCGTGCACTTCTGGAGGTGAGCGTCAGCTCAGAGAGCTCTCCCTTGGCTTGGACGTGATTGGCGTCGCGACTGCTCTTTCGTCTCTACCTATTCGCTGTCCTTATTGGATCGCAAACATCATCACCAAACCCTGTGATGATGATACCGACATTTTGATCTGTTGTAATTGAAAGCGCCCCCTGTTCACTTCCTATTGTCGCATCTCCTTCGCAACCGTGCCTCTACCGCTGACCGAATCCGGTTCCGATATCGATTCCGATCCCGCTCCCCCTCGACCTCCTACCCTTTGCCACCATCCCCGAACTGCCACCTCCCGTTGACACCTCCCGTTCCATCAATCTGCCCTCGGCCGTGACGAACCTGGGCATGCCTGCCGTTCCGGTCTAATAATGTTGGTCCTACCAAGGGCCGTTCGCCGTGCCTCGTCCGTCGCTGTCCCCATAATGTTCACCGCAAGAACTCCCGCATCGCAGCATCTCGCCCGGCTGCGATACATATCCTATTCGTCCCGCTTAGCCCTCTCTCCCCGTCGCTCCCAGTCCTACAACAATCAGGGCTTTACCTCAAGCTATGATCCGAACCAGGAGAATGGCCGAGGCCCAATATTCTCCAACAAGGCTAGCTTTGGCGTCCCCCAATTCTACCCGCGCGATCTGAAGCGGCGCGTAGACGATTACGTAGTCGGCCAGGATCGCGCCAAAAAGACAATCTGTTCCGTCATCTTCAACCACTACCAGAACATTCGCCGTCGTCAACATCACGAAATCCAGGACCAGCGCCAGCGTGAAAAGTTGCAGCGACAGAGATATGCTCGAGATCATAGAGATCTGCAAGACCGCGAAGGCTACAGTAGTAGCAACAGGGACATACATCCTGTCGAAGGTGGGCGACGGTCATCTGTTGAACCCTGGCTTAACTCTCCCCCGAAACCGCGACGGCAATGGGCTGATAAGCGCATACTTGAAGACGAGTTTCCGGGTCATCACGAGTCCGTTCTGGGGACACACCGTGACCGCGATCGTGACCATCCCCTGGCTGAGGACCACTTTGAGACGCCCTCTGTTGATGACTTTTACATCCCCGAGGACGCCAATGCTCCTCAGCGCGTAAAAATTGACAAGAGTAACCTGTTGCTGATAGGACCAACGGGTGTGGGCAAGACGTATATCCTAGAGTGAGCGGGACTCTCCCTTTCCTTGTGCCTATGCCCCCGTGTCGCATGCTTATCTGCCATATGCTAGAACCCTGAGCAAGAAGCTCAACGTGCCCTTTACGATAAGCGACTGTAACTCCTTCACCCAGGCTGGGTATATCGGACAAGATGTGGAAGCTTGTATCGAGCGCCTCCTCATCGAAGCCAACTACGACGTCAAGGCCGCCGAACACGGTATCGTCGTGCTGGACGAATTTGACAAGATCGCAAGACGGGAAACTGTCAACGGGAGAGATGTTGGTGGTGAGGGTGTCCAGCAGGCTCTCTTGAAGCTCGTCGAGGGTACCAAGGTCACCGTCAGTGTTAAGGATCATCGGTCGTCACGGCCGCCGCCGCCTCCCAACCTCAACATTTCGACACCTGGCTACGGACCAACGGGCACCACGCCGTCTGCTACTCCTGGCAAAGTTGAACAGTACATTGTGGACACCAGCAACATTCTGTTTGTCTTTTGCGGTGCCTTTGTCGGGCTTGACAAGACCGTCCTCAGGCGGGTCGCAAAGCCATCGATAGGCTTCGGTGCTGAAGTCAGAAACCACCGCGGCTCTTCCATGTCCAGCAGTCAAGAAATTCTTCCTCCCGAGCTGTACAGCCATCTACCGCACCAGCCTCCGACGATGCCAGTAGACCTGTCAGGTGGAAGCCTGGCATCTCACGGCGGTGGTGGCTTTACTCCGCTCGATCTAGCTTCACCGGCCGATCTCCAGGCCTTTGGTTTTATCCCCGAACTCATCGGCCGTCTTCACAACATCTGCGCCCTAAGTCCTCTCTCTCTTGACGAGCTCTACCGCATCCTCACGGAACCGCGCAACAGCCTGGTAGCGCAGTACACAGCCCTCTTCGAGACCTACCCCAGCAAGCTGTACTTCACTCGCAAGGCGCTCTATGCCATTGCCGAAAGGGCGGCCAAGAACGAAACAGGCGCCAGAGGGTTAAAGATGGAGATGGAGCGCGTGCTGGCAGAGCCCATGTACGATGCGCCTATGCCCTATGTTCTTATCACAGAGGGTTGTGTCAAGGGGACGGAGAAGGCCGGTTACTGGGGCAAGGACGGTAGGCTGGAGCTAGAGAGAATGATGGCGGAGGAGGATCAGAAGGGGCTTGGACAGGGACCGGTAGAAGGAGGGTTTGAAAGGATGAGGGAGGCGGGACAGAGTGGTGCATGATTTTCGTGATTGATCTCGGCATCTTGTCGCATGTCTTCTAGGGGGCCAGTATTGGGCTTATCGCCTGTGTTACTGTCGATTTTGTCTTTGCTTTAAGGCGTTGGTTTGGAGGGGTTTCACGGTCTACGGCACCGTCTTGCGAACGGGGTAAGGGAAGCACTGGTCGGCAAGTTGCCAGGAGTACAGAATGATTGGGACACAGTACATGCGCGTTCAATGGATATAGTATAGCAATGGCATAGCAGGGGAAGGGTGATTGAGGCATAATCAATGTACAATATCGCATATTGTTCTTGTCGTAGTGATAACCTCAAGCTAAGTACTTCGTCGTCCTCCCCGGCCCTTGATTGCATCATAGGAAGAGGTAGGGTGGGATTGCGTTATCGGAGTACCTACTGATAAGCGCTTATCGGCCGAAGGAGGGGAAGAAAAGTTGAGATTCGAATGGCCGAGTGGAGACTTTCAACCTCGAAGCAGTCAATCAGAGCTCCGCTATCGTGACCCTCTTGTCCCTGCTCTGCTCTGTCATCCGAGGCGGCACTGGCAGAACGAACAGTCACCATCGCAAAGGGTACTGCTACCATATTCACACTCAATTGACGAGCCAGCTATTCTCTCCAACGCTACCGTCTCCAGAGCGACCGAGTCATTTCCGTACAACTCCATCGCTCGACCACTCCTTTTTCGGACCTCGACCGGAGGAGGTCAAAGCCAATTCGAAACTCTCCCGTCGTTTTCGAGCGCCGCTCTTCTTCTACCTACGAGCTTACCTAGCCGTTCGAGCCTACCAAGTCCTCACAAATGGCGACCGAAACCACCACTACCACGCCCGCGGCGCCCAGCGCAACAACCGCCGAAATCACCCCTCTCCCAGCCTTCTCTCCCGACCTCTACCAACGCGCCTGGGCCTCCATCCCGCACCCCTCCCTCCCCCTAATCGCCACCTGCCACGCCCACTCCGTCACCGTCTTCTCGCTGTCCACGCTCTCCAAACACTCCGTTCTGACAGGCGGCCACACCCGCTCCGTTCGCTCGGCGGCGTGGCAACCTCCCCGCGGCAAGGTTTCTGGAAAAGAAGCCAAGAGGCTGCGATTGGTCACGGGCAGCTTTGATACCACGGCGGGCGTGTGGACCTGGGATCAGGGGCGGAGAGAGGAGAGGTTGGAAAGGGAAATCAGGTTGCAATCTGGAGAGAATGATAAAGAGACAGAAGAGGAAGAAGAGGCGGAGGATGAATGGGAACTGACCCTCGTGCTGGAAGGTCACGAAAACGAAGTCAAAAGCGTCAACTACTCCCCATCGGGTCAGTACCTCGCTACATGCTCTAGAGACAAAAGCGTGTGGATCTGGGAAGACGTGGGGAACCCGAACCCGTCTTCTGAAGAGGAGGAGGAAGAGGAAGACGAAGACGAATGGGAGACGGTAGCCGTACTACAAGAGCACGACGGCGACGTCAAAGCTGTGGCCTGGTGTCCTGACGTTCCCGGCCGCAAGGGCAAGTACGCGCCGCCGAGAAGGTACGGGGATGACGTTTTGGCGAGCGCTAGCTACGACAATACGGTGCGGCTGTGGAGGGAGGATGGAGATGGCGAGTGGGTGTGCGTTGCAGTTCTGGAGGGGCACGAGGGTACCGTGTGGGGAGTGGCGTGGGAGGGGAGGCCGAGGGAGAACGACAAGTTCCCGAGGTTGTTGTCGTGGGGCGCGGACGAGGTGATTAGGGTTTGGAGTCTGAAGGAGCCGGAAGAGGAGGAACATGGGGAAGGTGCGGCTGGTGGTGGCAACAACACCTGGGGATTTGGGGTGCCGAACACCATGCGCCGATCCCTCAAAGAGGAGTGGGAGTGCACGGCTGTTTTGCCAAAGGTGCATAAGGGAGATATCTACTCGGTTGCGTGGAGCACGGAGACGGGGCTGTTGGCTAGCGTGGGAAGTGATGGTGTTTTGGCGCTGTATCAGGAGACTGTCAACACCACAGAGAAGAATGAGGAGAACGAGACGAACGGCGAGGCGCCAACAACAACGTCTGCTGGTGGTTGGAAGGTTCTCACCACCGTCAAGGGCGCTCATGGACCATACGAAATTAACCACATCACTTGGTGTAAGCGGTACGATGCGGGATCGGAACGCAAGGGCGAGGAGGAGATGTTGGTCACGACGGGTGATGATGGTGTTGTCAGGCCTTGGCAGGTTAGGATACAATGAGGGAGGAAGGGGGTTTGCTGAGGGTTATTTTGCAGGTTATGTTAATACTGGAAGTACAGTTTACGGACAAACGAAATTGGACATGTATCAGGGATGCTTATTAGCACAAAGAAGGGCGATACATGCCGGCCGGTTGGATGTTATGATACCCCTATATAAAATCGATATAGGACTTGCCACGCTGCCTTTTCCACGTCAAGTTGTCAACGGGGAAGTGACAAAATACGTTACGATGAGTCCGCCGTGCTGGATGTACTCTACCCATTACACGATATTCACATGCCCCGACCCTTTATTTCTTTCACTCTCTCCTACAACCTTCTTGTGTCCATCCGGCTGGGACCACGAACATCGCTTTACATCAGCCACACAACAAGAGGTATAATACAGTATCCAACTACAAGATACAGGAGAGCTTTGGACTCGGATCGTCAGGAAAGCACGACTCGAACTTTGTCAAAACTTCCCAGTTTCCATGTTGCTATTTCTGATGATACATATCCGCCATCTTCCCAGCTCGTAATTGACAGGCTCCATCATATTCCGGGCCACCGAAAGACTGAGCTCCTGGCTACTTACACTACATATCGAAGTGCACTGTGAAGGTACTTTACGCCTATTCCTGGGATAAAGGGAACTGACTAGCTGTAAAGATGGCCAAAACGCTATGTTGATGTAGCCATGTGAGAGGTTACCGGTATCATGATACGACCGACCTCCATGAAGAAAGAGATGGCTTAGTTAAGCAGCTAAACATCCCTATGAATATGCTTGATGCTCGATAGCAGCAACAACGCTATACAACCTGCCAGTGCAGGTAAACATATTGTTATAATAACTTGAGCACGTCGGATCTCACAAATGTTGAAGGCGGGATTCACGGACACGGAGGTTGGGGGGGGGTGACGCTATTCCCAGTTCCTCCAATACTTCCAAGCATCCCTTCAATCACGAGTTGGCTCGTTACTTACTTCTCACTCCATACCTATCCAGAAGCATACCGTATTCGAATACGGTTGTACATCTTTTCAGCAGTTGTTGTCTTTGTGCTTCCTACCTGACCTTATGTACTTGGAGCGAGGAGGCTGTTCCGTGACCGTCTAGTCTAGCCGTCTCTCTCTCATTTCGATCTTATCTTCGTAGACCATGAATACCTATCAACCAATCGCCATCTTTCCTTTTCGCATGCCTACTAGATAGTGTACTTACGTATCTTCTTTCAGGAACTTATTGTAGTGTAAGTTTCCTGTTCCATTAACTACTATCAATGTTACCGTTCGGGGGGCTTTATCGTCGACACTACCAATTGCAGTAGTGTAGTGTAGTGTAGCCAGCTGCGTTGGCGTCGTTTCGTTTTCGGTCTTTTGGGCATTGGCATATGGCATATGGCAATGGCAATTGGCCGGACACCCGGATCATCAATCACCAAGCGGCGGCTCTTTTCGTTTCGTCCTTTTTTTTTTTTTTTTTTTTTTTCGGTGATGTCGGGGATTGTCTTGTTTACTCCGCTCGGTTCTCCGCCCACAAAGTCCGTTCGTTCCCCGTCGTTCTTACGCTCGACGCTTGTCCCGGCCGGGTCTTTCGGAACCACTCGGGTAATCAATCCCTCGCTCGCCGCTCGCTTGTTGACGGTGAAAGTTTTTCTCCACAAGATGGGGGTTTGAACCCCCCCCCTCATTCATCCATTGCCATTCCATTCTGCCACTTTTTGTATTTTGTGCCAAAAATGCCAGGTGTGTTGGGGATTACATATTTCAGGGAACTGCCCGGCGAAGTGATGAAAACTGAAGTATCATGATACCTTTGTGATACGGTATGTTCGTATGTCTTGTAAGTTACACGATCGTCAAAGCTCTAAACAACTTGTGGGGAGGAGCTTCCGTTTAAGTGCCAAGGGAGCTTACAGACGCTACCCCGTTCTCGGGTATCAGTGCAGTGCAACTGTCCACATAATATAGCGGCCTATCAGCCGCATCAAGTTGTTGAGATAAGGTGAAAGTGCAGTGTAGATGGATGTAGTGTATCAGTTGGGCTGAAAGATATGTAAACGCTATCAAGATCTCGTCAGTCCGATCTGCGGATAGTAGGAAGGTGAGGATGATCTCCGGGGTTACCAGACGGTGCTACCCCCTTGTTGATCCCCCCTTTCAAAGGGACAAACAAGTCCACCAAAGTAAACAAAACAAAGCAGGTCACTTGAGATCGAAGCTGGAGAATGAGATCAAGCTTGAACAATCATCGAATGAATGTATTGTTGTGCAAGGAGAGTAAATATTTGGTATCACATCCATTCATTATTTCCAAAAACCCAACAACCCAGGTATGCAGTGAACAGGAACCGAATACAGATACAATTATGAACAAGAGAAAAACACCATGTAGTATTCGTCAGTGAAGGGAAGAGGAAGAACAAAGGAATAACACCTTCCCATCCCAAAACCAATGAACACTCTCTATCCGCCCCGAAATCCCGTCCTTATGCACGCGCATCCATAATACACAGACCTAGGTCTCCGCCGTGTTGGTGGTTGTTCGACTTTTGCTGCTTCCTTTTTGCTTTGCTTTCTTCATCATCGCTATCTCTTCTGGCACACCCTTTACTCGCCCTTGAGCTTGCTCTGGGTAACAGAGAAAGCCATCTCGAGAAGCTCCTTCTCCTCCTTGAGGTGAGAAGACTTCTTGCCAGTAGCGACAGAAGCGCTGGGAGCACGACCAGCGTACATGACGTGCTTGCGGTCATGGTGCTTGGTGTGGTTGAGAAGAGTCTCAAGGCGAGGCTGGGTGTAAGACCAGGCACCAGCGTTGAGGGGCTCCTCCTGGGCCCAGACGATGGTCTTGGCGTTGGGGTACTGGTCGAGGTTCTCACGGAGCTGCTCCCAGGGGAAGGGGTGGAGCTGCTCGATACGAGTGAAGGCGACGTTGTCGATCTTGTTGTCCTGGCGGTGCTTGAGGAGAGCGGCATAGACCTGACCAGTGCAGAGAATGACACGCTCAATCTCCTCAGGGGCCTTGATCTCACCAGTCTGGTGAGCAGAGTCGGGAAGGATCCAGCGGAAGTGAGCGTCGTCAGTGAACTCTTCGATGTCGGAACGAGCAACGGGGTGACGCAAGAGCGCCTTGGAGAAGAAGATAACGAGAGCTAGGTGACAGGAAGTTAGCATTTTGATGAGATACATGCTGTTTCAAACACGGAAACTTACGCTTGCGGAATTGTCTCTTCAGCTGGCGACGGAGAATGTGGAAGAGGTTGGCAGGGGAGGTCATGTAGGCAATCTGCATGTTGCAGTCCTGGTGCTGACGCTCAAGCTTCTCGGGGGAGGGGTAGATGCGAGGATCCTCGTTGCAAAGCGAGAGGAAACGCTCCATACGAGCGGAAGAGTGCTCGGGACCCTGGCCGTCATAACCGTGGGGGAGAGACATGACGAGACCGGTACGCTGCATCCACTTGCTCTCACCAGAGGCAAGGAACTGATCAATGATGACCTGAGCAGTGTTGGCGAAATCACCGAACTGGGCCTCCCACATGTTGAAGCCGTTGGGGTCCTGGAGAGAGTAACCGTACTCAAAACCGAGGATACCATACTCGGAGAGGGAAGAGTTGGAGATGACGAAGGGGGCCTGGTCCTCGCTGATATGCTGGAGAGGAATGTAGGTGTCCTCAGTCTCCTGGTCGTGGAAGACGGCGTGGCGCTGAGAGAAGGTACCACGCTCGACATCCTGACCGGTGATACGGACGTGGTGGCCCTCCTTGACGAGGGTACCAAAGGCAAGAGCCTCAGCGGTAGCCCAGTCGATGCCCTTGCCCTCCACAACGGACTTGGTGCGGTTGGTCAGGATACGCTTCAGGTTGCGGTGGGCATGGAAGCCCTCGGGAGTGCTGCCAATGACGGTACCAATGTGCTCAAGGGTCGGCTTATCAACCGCAGTAGGCATGTGGGGGAGAACCTCGCTAGCAAGCTCCTTGGGGCTCTTGAAGTTGTTCCAGGCGCTGGTGGTCCACTCCTTGGAAGTGGGCTGGTAGTCCTTGGACTTGGAGAAGCTCTCCTCGAGCATGCCCCAGACCCACTGCTTGTGCTCCTCGATGTCCTCCTTGGTGAAGGTGCCCTCCTTGAGGAGCTGGTCAACGTAGATGTCGATCTGAGGGCTCTTTTCGCTGATGCGCTTGTACATGAGGGGCTGGGTAAAGGCAGGCTGGTCGGTCTCGTTGTGACCGTGCTTGCGGTAGCAGACAAGGTCGATGATAACGTCCTGCTTGAACTCGGCACGCCAGTCAGAAGCGAGCTGGCAGACAAAGTTGACAGCCTCGACATCGTCAGCGTTGACGTGGAAGACAGGGGCGTCAATGGCCTTTGCGATATCCGTGCAGTAGGCAGTGGAGCGGGCAAAACGGGGGTCGGTGGTGAAACCGATCTGGTTGTTGACGACCAAGTGGATGGTACCACCGGTAGAGAAGGCGGGGAGGTTGTGGAAGCCCAAGCACTCGTAGACGATACCCTGACCAGCGATGGCGGCGTCACCGTGGAGGAGGACACCCATGGCGCTCTTGTGGTCACTCTCGTCGTTGTTGTAGTGCTGGATGGCGCGGACCTTGCCGAGAACGACGGGGTCCTCAGCCTCGAGATGGGAGGGGTTGGCAACGAGGGAGAGCTGGACGCGCTTGCCCGAGGGGGTAGGGCGCTCGAAGTTCATACCCAAGTGGTACTTGACATCACCGGAACCCTCCTCATCGGCACCGGCCATGCCGGCGAATTCGGAAAAGATGGCCTCGTTGGGCTTGCGGACGACGTTGGAGAGGACGTTGAGACGGCCACGATGGGGCATACCAATGACGATGTCCTTGACGCCATAGTCAACGGAGCGGTCGATGAGGGCCTTCATACCAGGAACAAGGGTCTCGCAACCCTCAAGACCGAAACGCTTGTCGTTGGGGTACTTGGTGGCGAGGAAGGACTCGAAGCTGGAGGACCAGATGAGGCGGTCGAGGATGCGGCGCTTCTCATCGATCGAGTACTTGAAAGGCTGGGGGATCTCGAGACGCTCACGGAGCCAGTCGCACTTCTCCCTGTCGGGGATGTGGATGAACTCGACACCATAGGAGCCGCAGTAGATCTTCTCGCAGGCATCGATGATCTCGCGGAGCGTCATCTTCTCGCGGCCATCGCGGGCGAAACGGGGGAGGATGCCGGGGCCGAGGCTGTACTCGGTGTCGAGGTCCTTCTCGGTGAAGCCGTAGTATTCGGGGGTGAGCTCCTTGGGCCTGATGTTGCCGAAGCCCTTGGAGGCAGGGGTGTTGCGGATGCCCAGAGGGTCAATGTTGGCCTTGTGGTGACCACGGGCCTGGTAGGCGCGGACGAGGAGCTGGACCTTCAAGTGGTTGGTGACGTTGGCACCCTCGCCAATGCCGACGCCGGCGCCGGCAGCGATCGCGGGCACCACGTTGGCGGCACCGGGAACCAGGCTGGGAGGAGGCTGGAAGGCCTGGGAGATGGGCATGTTGCCGCTCTCCATGTTCTTGAAGTAGACCTGCCACGAGACGTGGACGCTCTTGGGGTCCTGCTTCCACTGGAGGTACATCTCGTCGATATAGTTGGCGGCGCTGCCCGAGAGGAAGTTGTCGTTGGGGTCGGGAGGGCTGTGGAGGGCGCTCTCATGGCGCCTCTGCTGGGAGACGGCCAGGGGACGGCGGCCAACGGCGGGCTTGAGGGTGGCCCTGGTGGTCTGGGCGACCTGGGAATAGCATCGTTTTGAGGCGCCTGCGGTCTGCAGGGCCCGGATGGAACCGCGCAACATGATGGGTGGCTGTTGTGAGGTGAGGGTATTAGGACGCAGAAACCGAAAGCGCAATCCAAGCAGCGGGGTTTTGTCTTGTGTACAATCTGGAAGAGGGGAGATTGGGGGGGGGGATGCGCAAAAGGCAAAAGGAGCGGCGGAGTAAGTCTAGGTCTCGGTCGTCGTCGTCGTCGACTCTTGAGGGGGGGGAATGGGGAGAGAAGACGAGAGGATCGAGATTTGGAGGGGAGGGGGGCGACAGACGTTGGTGTTTTTGATGTTTCGTTGGTGTCGGGGGAAGGGGCGGCGGGAATGCAGCGACGGAAAAAAAGGGCCTCACTCTGCCGTGCAGGTGCGTCGAGTTGCTCCGTCCACTGGAGTCGGGCGGTCGGTCGACCTGTCGGTGCAAACTGCAAGAGCGAGTGCTGCCGTCCAGCTGTGCTGAGTGTGCATGCCTGCTGTCTCCCGTTCTGCCCGCCCTGTGGAATTGACAGACCTAACGAACTGAATTGAGTGAACTGAAGTAGCTCGTACAGTAAGCATCAGGGGATCTGCACGGCTCTGCGGAGGGGACGATGACGGCACTTGCTAAAGCACAACTAAGTGAGGCTCCCTCCCCCTCGGCTCCCGCCGTTGCACCGTCTGCACCGCTACAAGCGCAGTGCAGTGCGCCCTGGATGCTTCTTCTCTTGGCCATAGCTTTAACATTGTGGAGCCGGCGAAACTGGGTGGAGCTACCCAACTTCTCGCACTGGGAACAACTACATCGAAGACGCCCGGGACCCAACAAACTTGAAGACATCAATGTGACATTCTCTCGGTATAGCCGCAAACTCGCCTACCTCCAGTTATTTACTGCTCAGTCTGCTACATACCCATAGTAGTGTACACAATGGAATGCACGAAGAGATATCATATCCGTCATCTACTCGAATCCTCCCTCTTGTTGTTTCTCCAAAAGTCACGACGGAATTCACGGTTCGAGCGGTGACCACGGTAACAGCAAGAGCAACCGGAAGTCGTGGAGTTTCTGTGGTTTCAAGGAGGGGGACGGGAGCTGTGTCTCCATGACAAGTCATCGGGCACGCAACAAACTGGGAAAGTGTGGAAGAGCTGGAAGTTACGGTCTGGAGAGTGCTACTGTAATTATTTCATTACGCATTGGCTCCCGCACCTCCCGTCGAGACTGGAGGCTCCGAGACCCGAGTCCCTTTTCCCCGGAAATCACGGTTCCCGTCTGTTTGGAGCAAGTATCCAATCTTACCGTGTAGAGTGGGGAACACTTGTCAGAGGTGGAAATGTACGGTAACGCTTTCGGTTCCATCTTTGAGCGCGAACTTTTCGAAGCTTTCGCTTGGGGCATCGAACTGATGGAACTGCGCTAGACATGGTCTGGTTGGTATCCTGGGTTATGGGTTTGGGTTCAATTACCTACCTACTTGGCACTGACCGCCTTGTGACTTGCCGTATCATGTGACTTTTGCAAAGGTCATTTATCAAATCCATTGTGTCAAAGAAGAGCCAAGCGAACCGAGTCTAGATCTCGTCTCGATCTCGTCTCGAGTGGTTTGTCGAAATGACTTTGAGGTCTGTTGGTTTCGATTGTGTAATTCACCACAAAATCCTGCATCGTCAGCTGCCACCTTCAACTTCTTCTTCATTATTGAGCCAGTTGCAGCATTGACTGCACGTCACAGTGTTAAATCCCCCAACTCTCATTGGCTGGCCGTGACTGGTTCGCTGCAGTGCAGTGCTGTTCTCCAAGCTCTGCGCTGGCTTCAGATCCTTGGCATTTCCCACCCACGGCACCTGCAGCAGTTCGTCGCCCAGAGCTCAGGTCCTGTGGTGGCCAGAGATCCGACCTGGGTTGGGTGGACAGCTGCCGTGACACTGTCTGTCGGTCCAAACCTTCCCGAGCTGAAACCTGAAGTTCAAGTTCTTTACTAGTTGAACAGCCCCAGGGCGACCATGGAATTGTTAGTAGTAGTGCTCCACTGCAGCCTCAGCTGCCGCCTGCCTGCCTGCCACGCATAAACTACCTAAACTCACCACTCACCATCCCGCAACGACATCCGCAGCAGCCAATGCCTCACCCCGGATTCAAGACTGACGGGACCTGGATTGGATTTGCTTGGCGTTACTACACTACATCACCACGTCTATCATCGTCTAATGCCGTGTACCTTGACGACTCTCCCGTCTCTCTTCGATATCAGTAAGGCGTAGTACACGAGCACGCTGTGACATATCGCGTTAATACATCCTTGCCAAGGAACACATTGCGAGGCTGGTCCATCTTTATAACATCAAAAGATTGGGAACTGGGCATTGAGCGTGGACTTGACATATTCAACGGGCGGTTAGGGAGAGGACTAGCCAACATGGCCCCGATTGAGATTCCCCGGGGACAGGCCTCTTACAAAAAAAGAGAGGGCATCATCACATTAACCCCAGACAAAACAGCCCTGATATGGAGCCCCTTGCCGGGCACTGGCCCACCCGTCATCTCACTTTCCGTATCCAACATCACAAACCTCCAACAGACCCCCAAGACGAATCCCAAGGTCGTCTTGAGAGTCGTCGAGAAACCCAAAGCGCCCGGAGCCGATCCGGCTGCCTATCCCTTCCAGTTCACACATGCCACCGAGGCCAGGAATGAGGCCGATGCCATCAAGGATCTTCTCTCTCAGATCATTGCTGAGCTTCGTGGCGATGACCCTTCTTTACCCAAGCCGGCAAAGTCTGGCCCCAACGGCGCCGGCGCCTCTGCCGCCATGGCCATGGCCAGTGCCGTGAACTCGAAGCATTTGCCGTTTCGCTGGTTCGAAGACGACATGCTAAAGGCCGATGTAGAACTTCAGCAGTCCCTCATGAAGAAGGATAAGGCCTTGGCCCATATATATAACGACGCAAAGCTGTCCAAGCCAGATTCATTATCAGATGCCTCCTTCAACAGCCAGTTCTGGGCCACCCGCATCAGCCTGCTACGTGCCTATGCCATCGAGCTGAACCAGAAGAAGGGCTCGTATAACGTCTTATCAACCATCAAGCCCCGGACCGAGAACGGCGAGCTCAAGTTGAACATCAACCATGAGCAGGTCCAGCTCATCTTCCAACAACACCCACTGGTCAAGCGCATCTACAACGAGAACGTCCCCAAGCTCACAGAGTCCGAGTTCTGGTCCCGCTTCTTTCTCAGCCGTCTATCCAAGAAGCTCCGCGGCGAGCGCATCACCGACAATGACAACACCGACCCCTTATTCGACAAGTATCTCGAAGCCGACAACACCATGGCCGTCCCAGCCAAGATCACCGCCACGAGTGTGCCCCCCATCATCAACATCGAAGGCAATGAAGAAAACCAAGGTGGCTTTAGGGGTGGTAACCTCAAAGACGTCGAAATGCGTCCGCGCGCCAACATCCCCATCATCAAAACGCTCAACTCGCTCTCCGAGAAAATCATGGCCAACGTCGCCCCCACAGACGTCGACCCCTCCGCCACCTCCTACTCCAAAGACGGCATCGCCGACGCCCTGTCCCAACAACTCGCCCTGCAAGACCTCCGTGGCGACGCCGAGGCCCAGCTGATCCGGCTTTCCGTCAAGGACACCTCCACCTTCTTCACAGGCAACCAGCCCTCGCTCACCGACCAGGAAGCCGCCGACGCGCGCCTCTACGCCACCCAAGTCCCCTCGGACGTGCTCTTCGAAGTGCAAGCGGACATGGACACTCTCGACTCCGACGGGCGCGGCGGCATCGATCTCCACCGGTCCATCGGGGTCGATCCCGACTCTGACGACGAGAGCAGCGCTCTGGACTCTAAAAGCGGACCCAAGCCTCAACACGTCGGCTCCCGCGCTGCGCTAAGGTTCGCCCAGAACCAGATCCTCGAGAGCATGAAGTCCGCTCGGTCGCACCTCACCACCCACGGCTCGCACACGAATGCGTCCGAAGAACGACCCATGTCGTTGCCGACGGACATTGCCCACCGCGCTACGCTAACCTGCGCTACCACCGCCGAATTCTTGAAACAGTTTTGGACGGTGTTTAACTCCAGCGACAGCAGCCCAGAAAAGCAACAAGAATTGGCCTACTTGGCCGACTCGCTCGTACGCTCGAAACAGAGAATCGAGGCGCTGGCTGAGGAAGCGGAGAAGAGGAGACAGGAGATTATGGAGAAGCGGAAAAGGGAGATTAGAGAGTATTATCAGAAGACGGGCCGCAAGGCGAAGTGGGTTCCCGTTGGAGGGGGCAGGGATGCGGTGTGGGCGGTTTTTGAGGGTGTGGTGGGCGGGTTGGAGAGGGCTGTGGCGGTTTGGGAGATGGTTAAAAGTGGGAGGATCTGAAGATTTGGGAAAGGAAGTAGGTGGAGGTGGTTGTTAGGGAATGGGTGTTGTGTTGTGTGAAAACGGGAGGAAGATGGGTAGGATGAATTTCAAGAGAAGAGAAGTGATAGAGGAGGATGATATTTGGGAGCGTTGCCATGAACGAGAAAAAGTTTCAAGTATATATAGAGGACAGAAATGGTCCACAAGACAGTAGGCTGGGATAATTTGAGTTGAGAGAAGAAGAAACAGACTGACTATAGCCATACTAAGCATTATGGCTAAAGACCAATGATGAAAAGCATTGAGGAATTAAGAATGCAAACTGGTTCGGAACTGTTGTGTGATGTCTGAAACCAGACTCTAACACTTCGTAAAAACGAAGAAGCATATACTCAAGTGATATCATCTAATGAACGCTGGAAAGAAAAGGGGAATCTCTTGAACCATGACATATGACTTGATTCATTGAACCTAACCAAAAACTCCTTCATGCTTTGAACTACGTAGACTTGCACAACAAAACCATTTATCATAACTTGTTCATAACATCAATCCTCTCTCTTCGTCACCCACTCATTCACTCAACATTCGGCACACTCATCACCCCCCTCCCAAACCACTGCGCAACCGTCTTAAACCGATCCTCGCTCCTCTCCAAATCATCCCTAAACAACTCATGCCGTTCTGCGTTCTCCTCCTGACTCTTCTTCAACGCCCTAATCGTCGCATTATCTTTGGCACACAACGGACACTCACCTCCCTCTGCTGCCTCTCCTGCCTCTCTACCACCACCACCTCCCCTAACGTCAACATTGACCCCCGCCATCCCCCTCAAACACCTCCCATGGAAACTATGTCTACACAAAAAGTGCACAACCGGCAACTCCCTCTCCAGTCCACCTCCACAAACGCCGCACCTCGTCGCCTGAAACACCTGCGGCTTGGTCTCCAGCTCCTCCAGCTCCTGCCTTCTCTGCTCCGTCTCCTTCCTAAAAGCCTCCACATCCCTCCGATTCTCCCTAATTTCCTTCCTCTCCCTCTCGATCCGCCCCTGCAAATACGGCTTCAACATGCCCATCGTCGCCACACCGTGCTTGCTCAGCGTCTGGACGACTTGGAGGGGAGCCATGAGGCCGTCGCGGTCGATTTTTTCCAAGATGGCAGAGAGCTCGGCCTCGCCGGCTTCGGAGAGGATGGTAGGAGAACTGGTCAGATAGGAGAGAGCGAGCGGGTAGAGCTGGGGCTCCGAAGGACCGTATTTGTGGAGGGCGCGGATGGCGCCTTTGGTGTCCCGCGCCGAGGTGTAGGAGCGGAAGATGTCAAAGAGGAGGTTGGATTGTTCTTGCATCAGAACGGTGCCGGTGCGGAAGGAGGCGAGGTGCGAGAGGAGGAGGACATTGGAGTTTTCGATTTTGGGGAGGGCGCCGGGGGTTGTGGGCGGTGGTACTACTGCTGTTGTTGTGGAGTCTTTGGGAGGGGAGGAGATGATGAGGGACTTGGCTTTGGATTCCCATTCTTCTCGGTGCTGATCGTTACCTGGCTTCTCGTTGGCCTTGTGGAGGTACATCTCGAAGAGGGTGGTGTGTATATCAATCTTGTCGGCTTCTGACAAGGAGTTGGTGCCCTCTTTAAGGAGGGCTTCCAGGAAGATGATGAACTCGTCCGGATGGTCGATGAAGGAAGAGAAGGCCGTTCGAGGCCGGGGAGGTGTGTAAGTGGGTGTTGCCAGTCCTTCTGGCTTGACCACCTCAGCATCACTGACGGTTGGCTTGGTTACCGCCTGGCTGTTTGACCCTACAGCCAATGGGTTCATGTACGGTAGTGGCAAGAGATTGCTGAGGTTTTGGACGGCGTTTGCAGCTCCGGTTACAAAGCCTCCCCCATTGTTCGTGACAGGAGCGTCGGGAGACACGGCAGGAGGATCTATCCTTGGTTTGTATTTGCTGGTATAATAATCGACGAAGAGGCGAGTTGCGTCCATCGAGCAATGCTCAATAAGCACGCGGGCGTACTTCATTAGACAAGAGTAGGCCTACTCCAGTTAGCTCTCACTTCACCACAACTCCTGCGATGCTGTGTCAGGTAGACTTACTGTGTCGGGATCCAGATGCCAGATAAAGTCAAGCGCATCATCAAAAGCCTTGGAATCCTCAATAAGGATGTCAACAACAAGCTCGTTCTCGCCATGCTTCTTGGCAAGATATGCAGCTTGGTCGTAGTATCCTCCTTGCCTGCACATGGAGATGGCTGTGTCAAGATCGAACTTGAGGTCTCCGGGAGACTTGATGAATTTCTCCAGCTTGTCCACGTCCTTGAGCTTGGCATAGCAGTTCAACAACAGAGTGGTATGATCCGATGTCGCTTTGCCACGCTCATGAAGCTCCTCGAGATACTCAATAAGGTTATGTATCCTCTGCGTGTCCAGGAACTTTCTGATAACCTGAGATGGTTCTGTAGTATCGATCGCCTTGATATACTGGGTCATAGCCTCGTCGTAGTTCCCTTTCTGATAAAGGTAGTCGCCATATTTTCGGAAGATAATACATTGCTGATGTGCGTCCATGCCGGATTTCTGAGCCAGCTCAACGGCAAGGGTATAGAGATTTCGTTGGTAGAGCATGTCAAGTCTTTGCTGCAGTGATTTCTGGTGATAGCGGAATACCTTGGACACGTTAGTCTTGGAACAACCACAGGAATATCTGAGCAACCTACCTGGCCTTCCTGTGTAAAGGTGTACAAGTCACCCCATATCTGAACAATGTGTTTGACATCCGAAAGAACAGACTCGCTGTGAGCAATGATCCTCAGATCCGGATGTATGAGCGTAAACGTGAAGATGCTGTCGGCCGTAGCTCCCCAGAACCGTCGCCGCATGGTGTCCGACTCCCCAGTATTTGTGGGCGGAGAGACAAGAGCGATGTAGTCCTGGTACACCGACACCAACTTCTTGGGCGCTTCGTATGCGATTGGTGGCCCTCTTCCGTCTAGTGTGTAGTAGTATATCGCATCGTCCCGGCCTACCACGATGTCCCCGGTCTCCTTGTCAACCGACATGCACCCAACACCACAGCCCTGGTCTTCGACCGTCCTGGGTGGCTGGCCATGGCCCTTGCCTGAAATCGCCAGCTTCAGGATCCTCGACGTAGTAGCGATGAACAAGGTCGTAATGTTGGCGTCAACGCGCAGCTCGACGCCCGTGATGGGCTCATCCGACTCGTAGATTATGCGCTGCTTCGTGCCCAGATCGTGGATCAAGTCGCCTCGGATGACAGTGACGGCGCCGTTCGCAAAGCCAACAGCCAGCTGGGAGAGGTCTTCGGTCGCGGTAAAGGCGGATATCGGGAATGGCTTCTTGCCATTGTTGATAGCAACGGTGCTTAGGCAAGTCGGGATGCCCGTCTTCTTGGCCGGTTTATCGAGAGCCCAGACTTTGAGTAGAGGTTGGTTGATGGCGTCGCTGGTGCTTGGTTCCTCCTAGTCACAACAACAACAACCACAACTTATGTCAGCCTGGCATGCTTCCCCTCCAAGACAACCAAGTAGCGCGTGTAAGTCGCAACAAACGTACAGCAACGGTGACTAGCAGACTGGTGCCCTCGACCTGGCGCATATGGGTGATGGGCCCCGTTTCATACGCCCTGAAGCTCCGGACGATCTTCCAGCTGCGCCCAACAATGTGGACGTGGCCATCGTAGGCGCCGAGGAAGAGGCTATCAGAACCGGAGCAGACGCTGGAGATGGCATTGCTCTCGAAGAGGGCGCGTGTTTCGTCGTCGGCGATCTTGATCTTGGTAGCATCGAAGAAGTCAAACGACCTCCACGTCAACGCCATGGTCGCATTTTCATTCGGTAGAATTGTTTGTTGAGGTTGTCGCAAGGAACGGTGGTTGGATGAGGGCAGTGGGGGAAGCTGTTAGAGGAGCCTCAAAGGTACCTAATCGGGTTGGTTACAGCGTGGGCCAGTAACAACTGCATACAAGGGTCTGGTTGGGAGGAGTTCCTAGATCACCTCACATATGGGTCTGACCTCGGACTAAAATCGGAGCGCCAAGACTGCGCCAAGACAGACCTCGGACTACAGTCGGAGCGCTATAACGTATATAGAAATGTATATTCTTACTATACTTCTCTAATAACTATTTAAATTCAAAGAGTAACCTTACCCACTAGGTAGACCAATTAAGGATACATCCTAAACTAATTTACAATTTATACTTTATTTAATTTAAACCTTTATTTTAATTTCTATATTTATATTGTATTACATATATATCGGTTTATAATAAATTCCGGACTAATCCGAGACCGGTTTAGGACCTATCTAGTATAAATCTTTTATAAATTTGCTTTTTTATACTATAATTTACTAGTATAAATAAATATATAAATAAACGAAGATAATTGTATTAACTTTGGATAAGTTTCTACTTAGTTATTATATTTAATAAATAGGATAAAGTATATATAAATTCAAAACCGATCCCCGATTGGACTAGGATATTTTCTCGCTCTTTTTATTATTTCTTTATTATTTATTACTAAAAATTATATTCTAAGTTCGATCTAAAACTAATTTAAAATAAACTTAAGATCTATTTCCTTTATTAGCCTTTCTTTATCTTTCTTTCTTATTACCTACTACTTCTACTTACTATAATACTAAAGTACTAATAATTGAGTATTTATAAATATTATATTAAAGATACTAATAGTAAAAGATTAAAGAGTCTTCCTCTATTTACAATTAATAAAGTAAGTTCTAATCTATATATAATCCTAAATTAATCCCTAATAGATCCTTAATTTAAAAAACTTTAGAATAGAAAATTAGTTATTTATATTAGTAAAGTATATTATTGGACTATTATTAAAGAAAAGGTATTTTATTAGTATATAGTAAATAATTAAGAGTTTATAAATTAATTTATTTTTAAATTAATTACTAATTAATATAAAGTTGATTCTCTTTTTAAAGTGTATTTATTAAATATATTAAACGCTATTTTAATATGGAAGGTAAACCGTATAAAATTGTTTCGCAGGGTACTATCGATGAGAATGGAGTTATTAGAAAGGCCTTTGGATTAATATTTGATATAGATTATAAAGTAATAGGTATAGGATCGGTTTTAGATAGGTTATAGATAAATTATAGATTAACTTATTATAGTTTTCTATAATTCCCTTATTAAATATTATAAGGCTTTCCTTATTCGAAGAGTAGTACTATAAGAGCTAAAGAAAGTAGCTATTGAAAAATAAACTAAAGAGAATAATAAGAAAAGAAAAGAAAAGAAAAAGAAGAGTTGAGGATAATAAAATAGAAGAC